ATTTAGGACTTGATAGGTCTAAAAATAATGAATATTAAAATCATAAAGTTGATTTTCTATTTGTGTTTTGATAGTGTATTTGCCTTTGATTTCTTAAACCAACCAGTCTACCCTAAGACAACCCGCGCACGGATTAGCTAAATACCATAAACAAAGCTTTTCTGGTTGTATCTTGTTTTCTCCACGTAATAATCTTGTAATTTATTTAGATACCTAACTACTTTTAAACCCATCAAGCCAAAATTCAACTAGAAATAGTGTAATCTAATAAAATTGTATTGACTAGGAAACAAAACATGGAAGCCTCAAGATCGAACCGCATCCAGCATCAACACGCATGGCACCATAAAACTAAACGTTTCAACATAGACGCAATACGCGATGAGTGCCGATCTTTGAGTTCGACTATTTACTATTGATAAAAACCTGGTAAAAATTTCCAAAACATTAATTCCATTAGAGTCTTGCGTGTTTCACAAAATTAAGCTTGTCTACCACAATATTTTGTTATATTCATATTTATTGGTACAGATATCGTAAAAAAAATTCAAAACTTAGAAGTCAAAACCTGCAAAAGAGAAAAAAATAAAAAGAAACAAAAAGAAATAAAAAATCATTCATTTAATTCTCTGTGAAGTATAATATAATAATATCTTCATTCCTATGCGAGGGAGAATTAAGTTCTATTAAAAATCTACATACAACATGACGTAAGTGAAACTATCCATTAACTACTAAGGTCGTAACGACAAACGAAATATTTGTTGTTAAATAATTTTCAATTTAAAACTTTAAATAAAATATAAATAATCGAGTATTACTGTTCCAACAACACTTAGGGTGAACGTACACTGGACGGAACCGAATTCCGTATCCGGATTGACTTTTACTGCATTCACAACGTAAATTGCATAAGACAATCCCGCTCTGTAACGACCGATTGTGGTCGCATCTGTACGCGAATAACCGGAAAAACACTCATTCGGCTCCGAAAAATGTTGCACCACCCATAATCCATGGTTCACCACAGATTTCATAATATTAATATTTATGGTGTAACTCTAAGATCTCATAGGTGACACTACAATGACTTACTAATTTTATCAGAGATCCAAGAAAGTTATGTAAATATGCAAAAGAAACTCGTACAAGTCTATACAACAGGCCTACATAAAAGATTGATTCATATAAAATTTATATACTCAGTACAATATTAATAAATGTTATATAATAAGTTTTTAAAACAATATCCCTAATAATGCCTACGATTGCCTAATACTCTCGCCTAAGGATAATATATAAATAAAATAATAATGATACAAAAAAATATTGATTAAATAAATTTCCTTAATATTACTTAATTATACGGAGGAAAGTGTGGAAAGTACATACTATAAAAAAATCACTTCATAGAAGCGACGTTGCCCTGGCAAGCAATTATTGTTTAGAAAAAAATTGTTGTACATTTGCTTATACGTTTATAATAAAAAAATATCATACAAAACTTACATACATCGTCACTTAAATGTTTATAATGCACTGGATGAGGGTAGTTTTGTACCAGGTTATTCAGTCATGACGTCATCCTGCCGGACGCAAATGCAGTATTGTGCATGTTCATTAATTGATAATAAAATTGTTCTCCGAAAAACTTACATATTAACATCTACTACGACAATTAAAATATAAACCTTACAAAATTTGTTAATATAAAATAAATAGTTGCACTAAAATCGAAATTAAATTAGCATACCGTTCTTCTTCTTATCGAGAATAACACGTTGTTTTTCTTTATAAGCTTTCACAGACCGCAGCATACATAATTAATCACTGACTGCCTGTCAAAATTTACATTAACTAATCAGCGTTGAGTATAGTTGCATCACGTGGCATGTAAGTAAGCGTTGTGATTGATTAGTGACGTAACTAGCGCCATCTATATTTAAAAAGAAAGAAAGAACGTATGCATTCATTGTAATCAAGCTAAACGGAGGGAAATCCATCGAAAAACAAATACTTATAGCTGCCTTCGAATTCATACTCATGGATGTGAGATCACCATTTTCTAATTTGCCATGTTTAGGTGCCATAATATGCCTTTACTTTAGGCATTTACTTTTATAATTACTGTTACTATTGCAACTTGACTAAAATTCAAATTGTATTTATTTTCTTAATATGTTTCAATAATATTGTTAACCTAAAATCATAGTAAGATTTAGAGCTTTTACGGTATACAGTTTTATATATAATTAGAAACACATTACATCAAAATACGTATTCGAGTTACAATAGTAATTAGTATAACTGCATTTTATTTGCAAAGTAAAAATAAATAATCTAAAACTGAAATTTTAAAGCTACTGCGAACGTCCCACATTTAACGGATCTTACACTAAATATAAGACGGATATTCCTTAATTATAGAGGACATAGACACCTATATTACAATATTCGTAGAGGGTTGTGGAATGAATACAAAACATTACAAAATTCTATATTATAATGTAGTAGTAAAAACTATTACGCCCGTTAAGTGCTTTATCATACTGCCTTCTTGCATTTAGCATCAATTTCTCAGGCTTTTTATAATGCTACTGAACTAACGGTTTATAAAATAATAACAATTATATTCAAATTCCGAATATAAGAAATGTTTTATCTTATAAACTTACAATTAGTGGTTTTACTAATTTTTTTAATATATAAGTAAATATGGAGAGTTAGGTTATATTGATAGATATTATTGAAAATACATTATGTTGTTCATTGTCAGCATAGGACAGACAATTGCTGTTTTTTATTTTTTCATAACGTTCGATTTAGGTGAAATTTTCGCACGTCTTTGAACTTCCACACACACCACGCATATTTCTTTACGGATTTTCGCCGTGAATTTCGCGTGGTACATTTTTGTTTGTATTCTAATGCAAAAGACGTGCTGAAAGTATATTAAAAAGTATTATGTGGAGTTTCCTTTCGATTATTTAGATCCGTGTGTGTGACTTTAAACATGAGCAACAAAATGTATTTCGCAGTATTAGGGTGAGCCTCAACGTATTATATAGAAAATTTCAATACATAGTACTACGTAAACCCCCGTTAATATTACGTTAAAATACACGAATGGCACGACTATATACATGAGGAATTGACATGATCTCGATACTGAAAATTGTTTGGAAAATAAATACATATAAATGACATCATATAAAAACTTTTTAGGCCTTTTTTTCTTGATTGCAATAATTTGTAACATAGTTTTTATTTATATGATTTAAAAACCAAGAGACACCATAAAGCATAACAAAGCTTTATTATGCAGACGCGTAAATATTGAACAGTTCTTAGGGCAAGTTCTTGTTAAGTCAGTAACTCGCCCTAGTGATTTGGTATTTCGGTACAGTTATTGGGTTTGTGCAAACGTGACCCGTTGAACAAAAAATCTAGTGCGCCTGTATCGGGACGCAAACCGTAGTTTATAGTAAAACGTTGATCGGTCTCTTGCATTACGATGTTCAATCTGTGTAGGGTAAAATTTTCTGTCCGGGTACCCGTATATTTCTGTCTTATTTTAAGACGTTTGCCATCAAAACGGAAACTTAAACCTGTGCTATTTTTATTTCATTGGACTGTTTTGCGTGCGCTCGTCTTCATAAGCTCAGCACTGCACTCACTATATTGTAATGCTGCTATTGTACCGTCACATTACTACCCTAATCGAGACTATAGATTTCACAAGAAGGTTTTAAATCATATTTCTGTGTTTATTCTACATATTATATCCTAGTCATAAGACACTTTTATTGAAGTAGTTAATTACAAAACTTCTAGTATATTATAAACTTTTTGTGCCCGCAAATTATTGCAATCAACTAAACTTTTCCTTCATCATTCTGTGAAGCTTTTAAGTATCACTGAAATATTGATTGTTTTTTTGTTAAATTATATTATAGCTTATAATAGATGTAAATGGCACTGATATTTTTAAAAATCTTTGTTAAAACAAGGAATAACTGTATCGTAAGCGGGATCAACCACTCCAAAGTCAATTTTAGATCTTCTTTTCATTTTACATCTTAATTATTTTTAACGGATTTCATAAAAAAGGGAGGTTCTCAATTCTGGTTTTTCTTTTTGTACACACAAAAAGAAAAGCCAGTCGAATGTTACGCGATTCCGACATTCGTGAACCTATTTAGACGTTTTTTTTTTGTTGGAAAGGGGGTACGTGGTCCCATTCAAATTTGAAGAAAATATTCCACCTCTAAGGATGGCAAATTAGGGGATGAATCCGATTTATTACATTTCATCCACTTTCCGTTAACCGATTTCAAAAAAAAAAAACTTGACCATTAGATGCAATTCCAAAAACTTTTCCAGTAGGTTTTTTTAATAAAAATGTTATAATTATTCTTAAAATTAAGAATTTAATTTCATTTTCAGTGTTACTTATAAACTTCATTCGATTCATTTATTTTGCATTTTTCGACCGTATTGTGCTTCGATTACAATTATATTTGTTTAACTTGATTAAAAATAAAACAAATCCTAAATGCGTCCACTATTAAAATACATTGGTCACTAGTTCTGACAAGCCAGTGCGCAAATAAATAACAATGTTGTAGGATCACAGTGGTTTTTGGTTGTTGTAGAATTATGGCTATCATAATCACCCTATAGAGGACATATGACAGGGCTAGGGACCATTTGCGACGAGTTAAAATCGATCACATTACAGGGAAGATAGGATATCTAACCTCACCATGTAACTTGAAGTTCGTCTGAAGTTCAGATTGTTGAATGTTAAACTCTATATACTTCCCAAACAAATACTTTAGAACGTTTTTTTTATGGTACTAAGTGAAGGGACGACCAAGTCGTGCACCTAGTGGTAAGCGACACGCCTGTCCATAGCAGTTGCAGAGCTTTAAATCGCAAAGATTTGAGATGCACCGTCACCACCCTGAGACATAAGTTGACAAGTCCCATGTGCCTATAATCTGTCACCAGCACCCTTACCCTTCAATATCGGAACACAGTAATGCTCACATTACCGCTTCGCGGCAAAAATAGGTAACTTAAAGAGGGGGTTTCGTAAATGTATAGAATTTGAAACTGCATTTTTAACTTCAGACTGGCATAAAAGTTCGGTCCCTGAACGTTAACTTACCTCTGCATCTGCACTTTTTTATCTGTCAAAATATCAAAACTGATTTGATAACATGGCTCACTCTGTTTTGACTTCAGTGACGTTAGATGAATGACCTCTGGTGACATTAGCAGCAATAATTCAACTTACAATGTAAAATTCGATGCATGTCTTAAGGAAGTCCATTTGTTACCATTTGTATGAATTAATGGTGTAAAATGATTTTCACTAAAATGAACGACTTCTCGCTTCCACATCTCACAACTTATCTAATTAACCAAGAACCACTGCTACCGAATTACTCTTCTTTTTTTCTTCGCGAGCGAGTCTCAACGACTGCTGGGCGGTGGCAGTTGCGCCTGCACACCCTGCAGGTTCATGGGCCGCCCGTTCGGATTGCCCATGCCGAGTCCGTCCGCGTAGTTACCGTCCACTGCGTCATCGGTCTGCGAACAAATTAACTACATTATTATTATGTACAAATGTTGGCGAACCTATACAAGTAAAGGTCAAATCCTACTTATTCAAAGGCGTGTTCACTACGCTGATACGCAGCTAATGGAACTTGGTGCATTATAAAACTGTATGCAAAAAATAAAAAAAAACGCAAAGTAAAAAAAAATAACACGTTAATTTGTTAAAATGGTTGTTGCAGTGCATCGAGAAACGTGCTAAAATAGATTTGTCCCAAGTTTATATCCAGCAGTGAGTTGCAAAGCAGTATTATAAAAATAAAGTAAAATCAAACATTTTCAATATATAAAGCCGAGATCATTTGTTTTAAAACAGATTTTAAAAAGGAAGATATTCTAAATACAAACAGTCCCTTTCAATATTTTCTCCAAATTGTTCAAAACAAATGAATGATCATAAAAGGAATGATCGGCGTGTTTTCGTGTCACTTGATATAAAGCGTACTCACAGTGTCCCGATGCCGGCGGATAGTGCGGTCCTCGTACCGTGTGCCGCCCGTAGAGGCCATGGGCCGCGACAGTGTGCTGTTGGCGTTGCTGGGAGAGTGAGGTGTGCCGCCGCCGCCTGTGTTGCCACCTGCCCGTGCCCATTCGCCCGTGTTAAACAAGCCATGTACAATGCCGTGCGGTCTTACGCTAACTATCAGAACGGTTCTATTGCACGTACTATAAAAAATACACTCAAAAAAGTTCTACAAAAAGTGCAATAGAATCGAATCTGAGTGAGTTTGAACTTTAGTCTCGACACAGACGAACCTTTTCGATATTTTTAATACAAGATTGTGCTATGACCGAAGAGTTTTGACAGTTAGTTTAAATGTTATTAGAGAGTTAAAATAGTAGTTAGCGTAAGAATCGCAGGTGGTAAGTATGAAATGGAGCTGTAATGAAATATCTATCCATACGTTTAAAGACAGACAAACAAAATGTATTTACATTATGAACATTATAGGCCAACGAGATTCTCATGAAGAACATTCAGCGTGAAGAATCAGACAGACTCGGACAGAAATCGTCAGTTGATCCGTTAAAACAAACTAAACTGTCATTTGCAGTTGGTGGATGCGTATTGACCCTTAATCGAACAATGAGAGCTATCGTAATCATGCTCACTAGAAGGCACATTGTAAATTGAGACTATCAGCGCAAAAGTGGTGCAATCCACATTAAATTTTTTTGTACAATATTACTTTAAATGATACTAAAGTACATAATTCATTTATATTGGGATGCTTTGTTCATGTATAAGACCGGTTACACACGGCATCTTTTAAGCAGCGATGCAAGCGCGCGACTGCGTCGATACAAACGCCTGATTAATGATGAAACGCGCGATCGCCTATGAATCCCTAGTGCATGCGATTGCATACACTAGGGATTCATAGGCGATCGCGCGTTTGTGTGGATGCAATAGCCTATAAATCGCAAGTGTAGCGATGCAATCGCGCATTTCACGCGTTGATATCGCTGCTAAAAGTCGCAGTGTGTAACCTAAAAATATTTAATTATTACTTTTTTATACATGGACATAGCATCGTAATAAGTAGTCAATTTATATTAGTTGAAAGCTCAATTTACATTACCGTCAAACAGAATGAAAGCGAATTTTTGTCACCATATAACGAGCTTTATGTTAATTGTGTAACGTACAAACTCAATACGATAGTTGTAGGAATTCATACTTGATATTGCCTTTTAATGATCGAGCATTACTTATTTGAAAGTAATTGTTACGGACGGGTGTCGGATGGAGAACGAGACTAGACCCCTGACGAGAATTCTCCATAACACGAGCGACCTGTTTTTTGGCTGGCATCTAATTTTTTCAATTCATTATAATGACTTTTACTAACCGTCAATGTCAGTTACCGCCCGCTAGTGACTTATATGACGGCGGCATCTCTTAAAATTAGACTTAAGCAAATGAACAGAATGTGTCGAATAGAAAAAGGCTGAAAAGTTACTTTTAATCATTGACTTACAAATAAATGGACGCCGGGTCTAATACAAAAACCACGAAAAAAATGTCCCAAGTCAACCTATTCGAAATTTAAATTGTAATGTCATCGCAGTATCGCGCTGTCAGTAGAACAAATGAAGACTAAAGCGGAGTTTGGCGCTCTGTATACGATTTTAGCGCCTTACAAGTGCGGACACTTTTTAGCGCGGACCCGACGTCCATATAATTGTAAGTCAATGCTTTTAATCCAAAAATTGTCAGCATTGGTATTGATTTTTGACAGCAACAATTCTCGTTCTCCGTCCGACGTCATGACGGGACGAACAATACGTGCGCCTGATAGTAAGCTACACGTCTGTCCATAACAGTTGCGGTGCCACTCAGAGCTTTAAATCGCAAAGATCTGAAGGGCACTACCACTGCGCACGTGACCCTGAGACATAAGTTGATAAGTCCCATATGCCTGTAATTTCACCAACACCCTTACTCTTCAAAACCGGAACGCAGTAATCCCGACATTACTGCTTGGTGGCAGGAATAGGTAAAGTGGCAGTACTTCTCTGGGCGAACTCTTTCACAAGGAGCTCTACTGCTACTAAATATGAAATAAGTAATACTCGACCAAGTTAACAAACAATGTAATTTGGTCGAGTATTGCATATTTGACAGTAATTTTTACGGACAGATGTCGACGGAGAACGGGAGTACAGGGCCTGGTCAAAGCAAATTAAGTTCAGTCCATCTGTCTCTTCCGTTATTATAAAGTCAAAATAAAAAATCTCAGCCTTTAAACGTAATAATTTATGAATGATAAAGGCCAAGCTAAGGCAGCCCGAACTTAACGTAACTATTTTATAATGCACATAAATTCTGGTATAACGAAATTTGCAAACCTTTCCACAAATGAAAATCCGAGAGGTTTCGTGATAAAGTGGCATCTTTGCTGAATTTTGGCGTATAACGTTAACTTTTTGAGGTTTAATTTTTTAATGCTGTTACCATTTAATGTTAACACATTCAGTGCGTTGGTTAAGGAACATTTGTAACACGTTTACGTTTAATAACCGATTAATACTGACCGCTGCTATTGGAGTTGCCCCTGGAGTGCGCGTTCCTTGCGGGTGTGAGGAAGTCTGCCTCGCGCCAGCCGTGCTTGCGGTACACTTCACGCAGTTCCGCGTGGCCCCACATCGTCATCAGCACTTGGCCTAAAGGAGTTGAAGACATGTAGTAGTATTGTACAAAAAGTACCCCTTCAAGAGATGTGTTATAAAATGTACACTGGATGGCGCTTACATCAGGCTTAAAAATAAGGGCGCTTTTCGTTATTACATACTTTTGGCGCAGATTATTTAATATATAATACGTAACAGATACATCACTCTCATACAAAATTGAAAATACCTACGCTATAATAGCCTATTAAATCTGACTAATGACATCAGGCGCTCACTGCGAGGAAAAAGGCACCTAACCTAAGCACGCGATCAGTGAAGTGAAAATAACTGTGTGCAGTCGTGCGGAGCCGAATGCTCATAACTGACTTAAGACTTATGAGCGCTTGCGCCGACGTCGGCGCACTCAGCGGTAGGTACTGTAGCCTAGGGACGTAGCGAGAGGTACTTTATAAATACAAACTGGGATTATCTTCATAACTAGATATTTATTGTGTTTTTCACATATTCACTTATGGAGGCTCCTTCCAGATCTGCCAAGATATTCTTCTTTTTCTATCCCATTTTTTAAACACATTCTAAATACAAATCTATATTCACTCAGCCAGTACTTCTACTCATAGAGTAGAGCCTAGACCCTACAGTACTTATCGCGTGAACTTGAGCGAGTAACGGAGCCCTTCATTTGGTCTAATGGTCAAGACACTTTGTTCAATTATATCCGCTTCGATGGAATTTCGCTGCCGGAATGATAAAACAAAATATTGTCGTATTCAGTAAGATTCAGGTTACGCCATTAATGCCTCATTACACGAGATTAGAATCAAAAATAGTCAGTGACCTCAAACCCAAAACATACACAGACACCTACACTGCTTACGTGCAAGATTAAATTTAGAGATGAATTTTAAAATTTTTTTTTTAAATTTATTTATTTTTATTATTTAGATGGCACAGCATCGATTGAAATTCAATATAAAATTAAAACGTCGTAACTTGCAATAATAGGTATTAATCTTTCAACGACATGCCAACAGGACAAAGTTTGTTATTTCTTTTTTAATTTAGAAACTACGACCAATCATTATTAAGATTTCATAGTGTTTCAAATTATGAACGTGTGAGTTTTGGCGACAACAGTTGTATTTTTTCTTCCGTGTCATGTGTCATTCCTAAAGGTGAGGGCCTGATGACCGGCAGTGTAAGTGTTAAGCAATTAACAAACAAGACAACGACAAAGACAAAGACATTTATGTACCTATTAATTTGTATTTTTTTGTCCACCTTATGTCTACGTAGGATACTTGGTTTCTTTGGTCACATTGCCAGGAAAGAAGGGCACAACCTCGAACAACTAATGGTCACCGGAAGGATCGGCGGTAAACGTCCGAGATGATCCGACCAAGTTTGTACGGCTCACGGCATGGATCTCCATGATGCGCTCCACTATGCCAAAGACCGCCACAAGATGGCACAACGTTGTCGTGAGGAGCTTGTTTCACGGAGTCACGACTTGTATTTTGTGGAGAAATAAACCATTTTCGGCATCCAGTAAATCACTTACCAGCAAACTTGAGCACCCGTGGAGTATGCCGATGGCGCTGCTTCGTGATGTTGAGTAATCGCTCCACCCCTCCTGCTTCAAGTAGAGAGCGGCTGAACTCGCCACTTTTCTTTATCACCTCATTCAGTGTCGCTAGTACTGCCGCTATCGTGTCGTCTGATGTGCCCTGCTTGGGTTATACGGAATTTGATAATTATCACGTCTTTACCTTTTACCTCAAACGCGGCGAATAATCTCATAGTACGAAATTAAATTTGTTGCATTTATAACATCTTTTAATGTACACGCCCCATTATTAGGCACGAGCTCTTCAGAAAACTGGATTTAGGCCACAGTAATAAGTAAATGATAACAAATATTTTAACAGAATTGTCACATGTGACCCAAGAATCCCATAACAATTACAATTAAGACAGATCTGTGAATGTGTTCATGCCGAACATCGTTGAGATACGAAATGTAAAATAGTTTTATTGTCCATGACCGGGTTACAAAGAGACGTCTTTAGGTAGTTCCTTTAAACATTAAAGAGACCAACTAGACCTGATCAGGAATATTCAATCAGTATAAACTAACTTGATCGTGCTGTTGATTGCCGCTAGGTAATTTCTGTACGAGATCTCGCATCGCGTATTTGCCGATGAGTTCTTTGTTCCGCTGGTCGATGGCCAGATTACGTAGAGCCGTTGCCACGGCGCACACCACACGGTCCACTTCCATTCGTAAGAGTTCTACTAAGATTGGTAGTCCTGGAACAAATTAAGTACGTAAGAGAATGTGGGTTTTATTTACCTTTTTAAGCAAAGAATCTTTCAAGATTGTTACGATCACAATAAGATGGAAGCTAGTTACTAAACGGACCAGAAGAGAATTACCTATACCTTTCTCTTTCCGAACAGCCGCTCTTATATCAATAGAGGGCTGCCAATAACAAGCAGCGAGGTTCTGCAGCGCGCCCGCGGCCGCCTCTAACGTCTCCGGGTTGGAACATGTTTGTAGCAACGCCATGTAAAGAGGGACCACCTATGAAAAATAACCAAAGATTAATCCATCGAATTTTATCTGTATAAACTTGATTTGTTTCAAGAACAGATTTTTTGCAGGTTGTTCCTTATAGTTCTTTAATATACTCGACCAGTACGTGTGGGGGAAAAAAGAGAAGTTTGATTTTGGACAAAGTTGATTTTTTTTTGGAAATTCACTGTAATAACTGTAACCAGTTTTAACGTCTTCAGGCAGTTAGGACTCTCGGCGTTTAAACGAGGCGATCTCGGATTCGATTATCGTATCGACCCATTTCGAAAATTTCGTTTGTACGAACTTTTCAATATTGCTTCTAGTTTCGGCGTTCTGGGTAGTGCCACACGGTCATTGGCATGATTACTTCATTCTACATTTCAGTTTCAAATTATCTCCGAGAGTCTCCGTCTGATATGGTTTGATATTTTTGGTTAATGACCTTTACCCACGTTGTAGCCACGTTGCGGCAACAGACACTGGTTCCTATTCAGTCGGACCGAAAGAAGAATTTTTCTTTGTTTGTTCGATCTTTGTGTCAATAAGAATAACAAGCTAGTGGAGTATTTTCACAAAAAATATATGAATACCATATTATGATATTCAATAAAAATAAATATTGCAATGATTTCTTGTTTATGAACATAATGCTTACCTCAGGTGACCACAACATTTCCGTGCCCTTTGGCACACTGTAACCAAGCTGCGAGCTGTTGTTCGTATCTCCGAGAGGCTGCGAGTCCGATTCGCTCTTGCCCAGCGGGCTGGTCGAATTCGAGGAAGACCCTTCTTTCTTCTTTTTACTACCACCGAAACAGCCAAGGTTTTCGCCTAGAGGAATAAAGAAAGTTGCTAAGTAATTATTGTAAGTATACTGAATTGAATTGTTATTTATACTTCGTCCAACCATTTATTTAACTTTTGACAGCTCGAATTCTAATCAATTAGTGTTGTCCTAATGCGTATCTGATACGATTTTTTATAATAATCGATTTTATTTATGAAGAAGTTTTAATCGTAAATGTGAGAGGGTTCAAAAAAGAAGATAGTCTGATTGGGATCGTGATGTTGTGTTTGACAATTTGTGTACTCAAGATTTAATCATTAATGTTAATGAGGATTCAAGTGATGATTCCCGTTCATATGGAGAACAATACAACGACTCATTATATATAATCAACAATATCTCAGAATCTCAGAATAAACAATAAGAATTTATTACAATTATTTATAACTTATTTCATTTCAATATAATTTATTAGACAGGTACTAAAATTTATCAACTTGAATAATAGGAAATGAAAAATGACTCAGTCAACCGTGACCATGGGACCTGTAAAGGGCCCGAAACGTCTTTTTGTTTGAAAAAACAAATATACGCGATTTAAATCCGGAAAAATAGTTTCATTTCCTACGTGTAACAATCGCGAAAACCTAAGAACTCGATAACTTGAATAATCTTCATTACATAATCTGGTGACTCGATACATATCTGAGCTAAAGAGCATGTCGTTTCGCTGAAAATAAAAGGGTCCAGGACGTATTGTATTTTTGTCTGTAGTTGTATGTCCATAATTACGGAACTTTGGATGCATGCATATGTCAACAGTTAAATAAATGATTGGGCGGAGTATATAGTACTTTTCATAGGTGTTTAAACAAGAGCTTTAGCAAGTTCATATTACAGCGTATTGTTAAAGTATTGTTAAAAACATGACAGTATCTGTGCCGTTCGGTATTTATGGCTGTTCCGAATGATTATAAATAATATTGGATAATATATTTATTTCTTTTTATAATATTCATTAAGTTAATCCTTTTATACCAGTATCTTTTAAAATTTTCTATCATTAACAAGTTGGCTCACCTTTGGAAGCGCTGGCCTGTATCCTAGCTTGCCCAGATGACTGCGTAGGTGGTGCTCTCGTATCGTACAAAGGATCTTCTATTTCTTGACACCTAAATAGAAAAACATATAAATTAAAATTAAAATATTTATATATTTTTACCATGCAAACATAATTATTTGTTACACTGACCTGTACGATAGGTTGCGCAATATACAAACGCAGTTCTCGACAATCTTGGTGCCAATAGCGTTCTGGTTGATCGCTACGCGTACAGCGTGTAGCAAAGCTTCTGTCAGTCCGGGGATGCAGCGCAGTCGCCGCCGCGCGTACTCGCCTGCGGACGACGCGTTGCGGAGAACGCCAGACGCGTTTCTAAATACTGTAATAATATCAAAGACACATTAAATTTTTCTCATTGAAAGAGGCAGTGTATTTATCTATAAAGGTCGCGCTCACGCCTATAAAACTCTCGTGTGTAGCTTAATCGCATAATTCTCATAATTATAAGATACAAGAGAAATCAAGCAAATCCTACGCCATTTTCTAACGGATGGAATCAACTGCATAATGACCATTGATAGTGTTTACTTATTTATGCAGGATATTCCACGTAGAAAAGACTACACATTAAATAAATAAATATTAATGTCCGCTTGCACTAAACTTAAAGAGCTTATACTACCTCAGCTCGAATTCATTTTGTTTGGGTCGAGCAAGAGCGACACTGGCTTTATTTCAAAATTTATTTTAACCGATTTCAAAAAAGGAGGGCTGTATGTTTTTTTTGTAAGTATGTTACGCGATAACTCCGGTATTTGTGAACCGATTTTCATGATTCTTTTTTTATTGGAAAGGGGGTACTACCATAGTGGTCCCATTTCTTTTGAAGAAAATCATCCACCTCTAAGGGTGGCTGTTCACGCATGAAGATTCATTTTTATAAATAGCGCCTAAATTTTACTTAAGCAGCAATTATTTTAATGGTTGATTTTGCTATTTCTCCAATTCAAGGCGTTTTACTCGCAATATACTTTGAGTAGTGAGAACAGATTTTTATTATCTCCAGTGTCAAGCCCTGTATAGTGGCGAATTTAAGGATATTTCAATAAAACTTACCAAATAGACGTAATTCCACATACTTTTGAGGTCGGTTTTTTTAGTACTCTGTACCGAGATTATTATCCAAACGAAGTTAAAGACATTTCAAAAATGTATATCATATAGCATACATGTACTATTCTGATATAAAAAAATCATTGGTGTATGTAAAGTATGAATACAGCTGTTTTCTTGTAAAATTTCGAGGTAAGTTTGTGTTTTTTTTCTATCGTGAATATTTTTAGGAATCGTGTTTGCACAACGTTAAATCAACGTATATCCTCAATTTTACTATATTTTTTCCAAAGTGATAGATTCAACACTTGTACTGTTATGTGGAATCTACCAAAGCCATTTGAGGTAGTACATATAGACTCTTAAGTACGTTTTAAACCAACGTTTGCAACACAAAAGACACTCTTAATACATTGTGTTAAGTGTGTTATCAATTTAAGCATTGGTTTAAGACGAACTTAAGTTTAGTGCAATGTAAATGGATGCATTTAAGGAATATCACAGCATGAAATGACACAATATATGATAAGATATTTAAAAATTGTAATGAAACAAGAGGAAATTAAATGAATCAATGCATATACATGACTATTAAGTCTACGTATAATTTCTTTCAGTTTATGACCACCCTAATGACATAAAAAAAAAAATTATAAAACTTAGATATATAACACTATCGTGTATTCAAAATTATCTGAACCTTGGACACAGATCGCATTAGTTTGAGGACCACTTTCAATTATTTTTTGATAAAGTGCAATCTGTTGAAAGTGTACTTTTAGCTTAGATTTATTTTTATCAAATATTTCGATAATATTAAGCATTTAGACGTCTAAAATCATTCTTACGCTGTACTTTAAAAAACAGATTCTATCAGACAACGTTAACAAAATTGACGTAAATTTAATTTGATATATTTTGATAATTTTGTTCAAAAAACTGACTGAGTGTAAACAATCTCATGAAGTGGTATTTAATTTATTTGAGTCTATAGCAGTTACAGTACAATACAACTAAAATAAAAACAATAGTTCCAGTCTACAGATTCCCATTACTCTATTGGTTGCACGGTGTTTTTTCATTACTTTGAAATGAGTTTTTTGTAAAAAATCAATTGAAGTGAAAGCCCAAAAAAAATTAATAAGTAGCACTAGTTTACTTTTGTTTCCTGCTTTGTCATATAAATTGACCTACACTATTCCGTGTAGCATTCAAACAAGTATTAATAGAAACGACCTACCTGTAGACCAGTAAGTATCTCCCGGATTGGTAGGATGCCAACCGGAGTGCGGGATGACAACCTTGTTGACGATGATGTGGGTGGCATCGTCGATGATCGACTGCTTCAGGTCCTCGCATGACGACATGTTCCAGATTATACCCGTCACTAGCTCCTTCACCTGTTGCAACAATTCGTATGTAAGACCAAACCTTTTATAGAAAACAGTATGCGGAAGGTAATCTGTTACTGGTTCTAATTACGTAAAATACAAATTAATTTAAATCATTCAATAATATTTTATTAAAAGTTGTGACAGTGACATGTTAAAAATGACATTGTGTATGTATTTCTTTATTTCTATCACGTTTCTATCTATAATTATATATGTGAAAAAGTTTTTTTTTTCTGCATAAATAGTACTGCATAAAGTACAAAAAAATTACAAACTTCAGAATATTATTAAAGATAATCGAAGCATGCAAAATAATCTATTATGCAATGATGTCATGTGCTTTTTTGCTTAATATACAGGCTGTATATTTGAAAGTGAGACATATTCATACATGTCATAGTAAATCATGTTACAACTTAACATAGACTAAAATAAAATTAGGATATGGGATAGAACAAAAAATAAATCAACAAATGTGTTTTGAAGTGTAGATAGGAATAAACCGATTCCCTTTACGCTTAATTTCGAGTGTAATGGGAGTGCTACCAAGCGAGCGCCGAGTGAGACAGCAACAATAACAATGATTTCACATTTACGTTTTAGGTTATGTTAATTGTTTTTTACTTGAACTATCATCGAAATGTTTTAGTAAGTAGTTATCATTTAATAAGAATTGAGGTTTTTGGCGTAGTTAAAAATGTGAAATCAAATTAATTACAATGATTGATTTTTTAGTTATTTACAGTTTATTTACACTTACGTGGTACGGAGCAAGTGTTCAAAATGTCCACCGTTTTCCACAATGCATAGTCTAGCACGGCATAGTAAATTTTGTTTTAAATTGTACAACACAAACACATTTTGTCTCACAGTATAAAATGCTGAGATAATCCTCTCACGCAACGCTTCGACACTGTTCACCTCTTTCGCGTAAACTCCGATTTGGGAACATTTCAATAGCTTGCCTCACACTATCACCACTTATTGCGTAAAGTCGCACCATCTCAGTCAATTCCACGTTAGAATAAATACCCATTTTGCGGCGATCGGGCGAGCGGAAGGACAAATAATTTACGTGTCTTCGTTAGATCAAGGTCGCGCGTGGACTGAAAAATTTCGCGTATGCGCCCGCGTCCCGTCCTCACCCCCGACCTGTGCTTTGCTTTTCGCCGCTGCGTCGGAGCAATAATAGTGATGTGCATAGATTTCGATAACTAATGTTGTGATCAAGTAGTAGTCGATAAAAAAATAAAATAAAATATTTTTTGTAAAGTTTAAGTTCATTAGTTTATTATTTCTTTGGGTTGAGAATCAGGAATATAACGCACTCTATAAGTATGTCCCACTTTCAAATATACAGCCTGTATTTTTCCTGCGGAATGCAGAAAAACATCATAGTTAACGAGTATTTTATATTAAATTTACAAATAAGATATGTATAACCAACTCCAATTTCAGAACTACATACTACATGATATTTGTCTTACAAAACCCCTATTGGACACCTTATACAGTTATTGTTAATTGAAGTACGTGTTTATTGGTTGTGTTTGTGGTGGTTTGAACAAGAACGACTCAAATTCTTTCACAATTATACTTCGATAATCACAATACCAATCTGGGATGCTGGTATAGGAATACAATACGTAGCATAGTTCTCATAATTATCAGATACAAAAAAAACCAAACAAATCCGACGCCATTTTCTAACGGATGGAATCAACTGCATAATGACCATTGATAGTGTTTACTTATTTATTCAGAATATTCCACGTAGAAAAGACTACACATTAAATAAATAAATATTAATGTCCGCTTGCACAAAGAGTTTATACTACCTCAGCTCGAATTCATATTTTTTCCCGTACTAATCTGGGATGCTGGTATAGGAATACCAATACGTAGGTACTGCATTTAACAAAGTTTATTTCAATATAACAATAGAAAACTGTGACAAACATATTAAATTTTTAAAATTATATTTACTACCAGTAGGTACGACTAAAATAATAATGTGACAACCCTACGCTTCGAGTAAAGTGTGGCATTGATGCGCCGAACAGGCGACAGTTCTGCCGTTCGTATCATAAACAACTTTATCGATATTTTTAGCGAAATTTGGTAGTAATCTGGAATCAGCAAACCGAGATCTACAAACCCTTGTAAGTTTTTTATATCTTATTTAGTTTCAGTTTTATTGTTAACCAAAATCAGCGTAATTGCCATTTTTTCAAAGAAAAACTTTCAAATATCTCTAAACCATAATGCATAGTCTCATTTGAGGTGGAATATTTTCTTCAAATTTAATTGAGTCTACTACCCTCTTTCCAACAAAAAAAAAATCCTCAAAATCGGTTCACAAATTATCCGGAGTTATCCTAACATATATTAGCGTAACATAATTAGCCAAAAAAAATTAAGTCGAATTAGGAACCACCTAATTTTTTTTATATCGGTTAAAAATTACCAAAATTCAAATGCTAAAAGTTGTTATGACAAAGAGGGCAGAGTTGCCCTACTTGTGTAATATAAATGGATCAAATTTTGTTGAGGGCCGTCTATTGAACTAAACGAGAATACGAATTAAAACAACAACAATCACAAAAATTTTTTGTTTCGTTTGAATAAATAATGTGTGCATGCGAGCCAACACGCGCTTTAGTCACATGCGACAGTTTCACTGGCGCATGCAAGACAACATGTGTGTTGTTCATATCGGGTCTTGTCAATTGACCTGTACATACAGAGCAAACACCTAATGGGATAGAAGACCCGTGCCCATATTTACCATGCATTTTTTCTTAAATTAAAACGACACATCAATTTCCATATCATATCCATAGCTAGTTTTAACTCACCATTGACGTTTGTGTATCCAATAGTATGCAGTGAGTTAAAAAAGAACACATTTTTTTAAAGAGATTATCAGAGAAATCTATTCTTTGGTGCATTATTCAGTCATTATTGGGTACCGTGTTTTATTATCTACACTCTGCAGGAAAGTGTTAGCGGAAAATGAATTGTAAATTTGAATAAACAATATGTGCGTTATAATTAATTATTATAATGTTTTTGTAACCACAAGACGTAACAAAATAAATAAAATTTAATGAATAAATTCAGGCATTACGAAATCCATTTTAATAAAAATGGTATTATCGCCTTGCAGATTAATAAATTGTGAGATGTTATAAACATTTTTATTTCATTCTTATAAAGTTTTATTGAATAAAAATTGAAGTAAATTACTTTGCTATCCTGCGAACCCAGTGAAGGTGAGACGTGCAAAATAGCCGCATTTGTACTGAATATTTTTTCATGCAATTAATATTCCCACAAAAAAATTACTTTGACGGAAATAAGGTGCACGAAAGCACCAAAAGCCTCCCCACACGACGTACCATTCCTTTCCTGTACGTCTGGCGCACCTTGTTACGTGGGGTATTGGGAGCCCGCGGGTAATGAGAGCGGTGTTAAACTGGACTTTCCCAATGCTCTTATTTGTGGAAACGGCACTCGTATGTCTTCGTTAACGTTGGACAAGGTTCGCCTCCCGCTGGCGCCCCTGCAGAACTCTGTGTTTAGTCGTACGAGATGGTTGTGTGTTTTTCGCTCCGCGCTTATAAAACTTGCCAAATGTCATCATCCCTGGTAAGCATTAAAACGCATAGATACTACATTGGATTTACACTAGCTGTCACCATCTATTTAATTTTAGGTGTTATGCTTGAAATTACAATAAAAATTGAAATTAATTTATTGTTGTTTATTTTTTTCAATTCCATGTTACGCGACCTTACCTTACCCCATTGCAATATCTACTGGATATTTCATATACTTCTAATACTTTCTTGTTTATTTTCATTAGTTTCTAACTAACATATTTTATTACTTTAATTTATATATTTTTTCAGACTGATTATTATTATAATGGCTCCCATTTCACACGGGATATTACCGGTTCCCATTTCCCGAACTGTAGGGTAATGGGAGCGAATAACATGTTTTAGTTTTTTTCCTTTTAACCAATATTATATTTTCATTTCATATTTATTCTGTAATTATCTAGATAATGATGTCATCACCCAGATATGTGAAGCATACGTTTATAAGTAAAAAAAAATTAAATTGCACAAATTATGAATTTTATTATCAATTTCCCTTAGTAGGCTCCCATTCCCCCACGCTCCCCTACCTTACGCCGATTGACAAATCCTTTCACCACGATGGTGAACATTATAGTTTATGCCATCGATGCGATGAGAAAAAGTTGAATGGATAAATTAACTGCATGAAAATAATATTCCACACGACTGCAACTATTTCGCAAGACTTTCACTTGGTTCATGGAGTAACAAATTAATATACATCCACTTTCATTAAATAAAACTTCATAAGAATGAGATAAAAATGGATAATAAATTACTATTTATTAATCTGTGAGGTTATAGCAGGATACATCCCGATTAAGCAAGCAATTTTACTGTAAATTAGTTAAAATAGTAACTATGAGACTGATGATGAAGTCAAAAACATGTTATATTTACAAAAAGCAAACATGAATACCAAACATTTTGATGATAATAATATTACTTATACATTTTTCATAACTGACTGACCTTCAGAAGCAACGGCAATACAATGTCAACAATACATACCTCCATATCGTTGGCGCGGCACAGCAAGGCCATGAGCGCCGGAATGCCTCCAGCGTCGCGAATGGCGCGCTTGTTTTCGTCGTTCTGACGCCCGTACGAGAGGTTCCGTAGCGCCCCACACGCGTTCCTGCACACTTCGGGGTTCTCGTGGGAGATCAGCCGGACAAGAGGTGGGATCCCGCCTGAAGAATGTATTAAATTTTAATTTTTTTTTTTACTTTGGAACTGATTACCACATGCAAAAGGCCCTAATTGGTTGGGGAAATGACACTTTTTTCGACCATACATCGCCTAACCAATGTTTCTGGCCCTTTACAGGTTCCATGGTCACACTTGTTTGTGTAAATAAAAACAAACTTGTGTAAGTATACGCGATTTAAATCTGGGGAAAAAATAATTTCATTTTCTATGTGTAAAAATTGCGAAAACCTATGACGAACTCGATATGGACATTATATTTCGTTTATAGTCAAATTTGAAAAACCAACTGAAAAGCGTTCTTCGGTACATAATAATAAACAACTAGTTCTTTAGGTATTTAACAGAACGTAAGCAAAGTAGCTATCTATAGTGTCTTTTTTAAGACGGAGTAAAATGACATTTGCAGGGTTGCTAGTTTTCATAAAATTTTAAGTAGTCCTGTAATTGTAGTCGACAGTTTTATCGATAGATTGTGAAAGGTAACATTTTTCCACAAGTGTCTGAATTGTGAATGTTACAACGTTCTAATGATTACTAATTGCGTTATTGCCTACTTTATTCTTTTTTTGACAGTTTAATCTACTAGAATCGAAATCAATTTTTATTCATATACATTTTAATAAGAACAGGCGGATTTGATTATCTGTATTGAATTAAAATTAAAAACTTTAAAATATGTCTCCTCTTTATATTGTTAACCTGTGCCCAGCAATTGGACGAATAATGGGTTGGTGTTGATTCAAATGAAACAAGGTCGGCTATTTATTGCATAAGCTTGACCAATATTCTGTCGATAGTCGATAGAATCTTTATCGACTGCAATCACTAGCTGTTCTCTACCGGACAACACTTTTGCGCAATGAACGGTCATTTACTCCATCTTCAAAATAGCATACTATAGCTAAAATACATTGCATTATAGTCTCTTTTTCGTTATATCCAAACTACTATAACTGCCTCCGTGGCCGAACGGTTACCATACCGCGCAGAGGTCCCAGGTTCGATTCCCGGGTAGGGAGAAATATTTGTATGGCCTACATTTATTTCTCTCGCGAGTTTGGGTGTAATTTGTGGTTGTCTATGTGTATGTCCATGGCACCCGCGACACAGGGTTTCCCTATATATATATATTATTTATTCATTTAATATTATAAATTCGAAAGTACTGAAGACTGTCCGTTACGTTTTCACGCCTAAACTGCTGAACTGCTTTTGGTTTAGAGCTATCTCTATAATAAAATCCATCAAATTTAGTTCAATTTGACAAAAAGTAGCCTGTGTCCTTTTCCTAGGTTTCATATAGATGGACACAAGTTACTATTTGTCACAAAAATAAATCTTAAAAGGGGTGAAATAGGGGATAAAATATTTAAAAAAATAGTTTTTATGGAGAACCAATTATTTCTCAAGTAGTAAGGCTACTCGAGATACTTATTCTCGTATACAGCTGAAACCATTTTAGTACAGTCTACGGTATATGATGGATATTATTTCAGAGCGTGTTTTTTGACGGAACTTTGGTAAATATTAAAGTAATAAAATTTTCTCTAAGTTTTGACGTAAAACGTCTTTATAATTAGACAGTACTTGTATGGTACTGTGACGAAAATTTGGACAGTAACTCAACGAATGTGATCGATCACCGTAACGAAAAAGGTCGATCAACGCAAAAGTTTCACGATAAACCAACGGTCGTGCGTACACAGCCGCATCGAATTTTCTAAAACCATCAATCTTGTTTTTTCTTTACCTAAATTCCTAGTCTTCTGCTTATTAGGGTCGTCCATGTACGTCAAATGTTGAAGGTACGCAGCAGCATTGGCTTTGACCACGTCTGAGGGCGAGCTGAGGAAGCCAATCACTTCGGGCAGGTTCGGGTCGCGCCATTGCAGTCCGCCTTCTTCACGTACTGCCACTCCACCGTGTACTGTTAAAGTAATAATAATAATTGCTCGAATTGCAAAATCACCACTCACTCTCATCCCAGCAGATGAACACATACGATCCAGAATACTTGGCTTAGGCCCGTACCTGGTTCCGAATATCCGATCTCGAGACGAGTTCAAGAAAAAACTTAATAATAATATCAATGTACCATTACACCTCGCGCCTGCTAAGTCTCTGACTTGAAAGTTTGTTAACACGATACGACATGGACACGATTCGGACGATTCGTCGATTTATAGACTTTCTAAATGCAAGGATCTACGTGCGATAGCTGAAAAACAGTGGCCTCTAGATAATAATAATGTGGAATTCCCTATACCATACAACACCCAATTCAGAACCAAGTTAGACAAGTTAATTTCCCACATTGATCCTACCGGGATACCTATCTGGAAAATGGGGAGGGTACTGTACGTGCACCCAGGGCGACTCACCCGAGGCACTAGTCTCTCGAAGAACCGAATGAAGTCAAGAGGTCTGTGACAATCCTTTACACTGGCTGATCTGGGGTCAGAACCTGATCTTGTAAGGTTCCTGTGCGCGCACAGGTCATAGTGCCTTTCCCGCATAACCTAGAGGTTGATAGGGAGGGGCACTATAAACAAAACTTATGTAGAATAATATGGGACTGATCCTACCGGGAGTCGAACCCGAAACCAGTGCCCACAGTGCAAACAGTTGGGTCAACAAAGTCGTTAAGTAAATTTTACTATATCAACTAAGAAGTGACGAAACAGCTTAAGGGCGAGGGTCCACGCTAAGAAAAGTCGTCGGGTCTATGCAAGAATTCGTGTCGTTTCTACACACGAACTGTAATCTTTTCCACCCCTGACACGACGCACTCTGCCGCAATTGTATGGGACGGGGTGAGGTGCATTATCAGTAAAAGAACAACAACACATAAAACAACATATTTCTTCCCACAATCGGTAATACGGCAGCTACCTGAAAGACTCCTAATGCAATGACACATTTTACCCTACACACTTCTGTCCGAAAGCATTAAGCAAACATACTCATCATTTTTTCGTCTGCAACAGACACGATATGTTTTCGTGGCTAGATCCGACAAAGTTCTTGTCGTGCACAAGACCATTCTCATCTTTTCTGTAACAGACACGTCGAATTTCTTAGCGTGTACTTACTAAGAATTTGGGTGTTATATGTTTTGTACTTAATACGGCAATAAACTCAAATTTGTTCAATACTAGGACTGACATAAAACCTTCTTATGTACATACATGCCTATGGATATGGATTATTATTTTATGTTTCCAATTCCAAAACAAGTTCTTGTTACAATAAATTTACAATCGTGTATTTATAGATAATAATTATTATCACATCAACGTCGTTATCAAGTCAGACCATAGCCCGATATTGCGTCGTAATCATCCACGATGACTTAAAAATGATTGACAGTATCACATGTTTTCAGACTTTAATAATTTTTTTACAGCATGCAGGATTCATCGCAATGTTATTCTACAGCCATATGTCCGATCCCCACAGATCGGACTTATGGCCCGTGTGGAAGAATAAATCAACCCACATTCAGGTAGGATGCTGCAGAGACAAAATGTGCAAATGGGTTTCAGGGATACTGGTGTGCTGGTCTAACCCAATGTGACTGCGATGCCCCAACATAGTCCATGCTACACTTACTGTTTATGGAAGACCTCTATGCGGCCACGAATAACGCAGTCAAGATGGCAACATACTATTCAAAGTCAATAACTTTTTCTGCCGCCAAGCAGTAATATGAGCATTACTGCGTTCTGGTTTTGGAGGGTAAGGGTGCTGGTGAAATTACAGACACATTGGACTTTTCCACTTATGTCTCAGAGTGACGGACGCAGTGGCGGTGCCTCTCAGATCTTTGAGATTGAAAGCTCTGAGTGGCAATGCAACTGTTATGGACAGGGGTGTCACTTACAATCAGGTGCACGACTTGTTCGTTCCTTCACTTAGCATCATACACAAAAAAGTCAATACACTCCTAAAATAAAAGAAGTATCGACACAATAAGAAGAAGAAGCCATATGTCCACGCCAAAACCATGTGTCCTGGATATTACATGCTATTCTATCACTGCTTTTTGTAACATTGTTAGTCTAAAAAATTACATATTTTAAAGAAGTAACATTTAGATGTTACTTATTAGTGTATTACATTAACGAATAAAGTAAATTTTACCTAACGACATCCCTGCCATCTGTTTTTGTAGTTCTTCTTCGTCGCCATACATCGATTGTCCTCCTGCGCTACCTAGACTGAGGCCATTTTGCGAGTCCTATGAAAGAATAATAAAAAATAAATAGTATTAAAACAATAATTTAATTATTATTTATACAAAGACCGAACAACACAAGGAAAATTTCCTTAGATCTGACTGGACTCGGACCAACCTCTATTGCTACACCGGGACACCGCTCTTACCAACTGCGCTACAGATCTACGAGTCAGCACCGACGCCGTTAGTTAAAAGAGCTAACGAAACATTTACTAAAAAAAATTGTTATGTATACTGGGCGTGATCAGTAAAAAAAGGCCGATCTTTCAGTATTTTTATTTTTTCCTAGGTGGATATGGTATGAAGTTACAGGCCGATCTGTCACTATTTTTATTTTTTCCTAGGTGGATAAGGTATGAAGTTACAAGCCGATCTGTCACTATTGTTGTTTTTTCTTTTGTGGATAAGGTATGAAGTTGCTGGCTGATCTGTCACTATTTTTATTTTTTCCTTCGTGGATAACGTATGAATTACAGGCCGTTATGTCACTAAGGTATTAAGTCACCGCAAAACGTCGATATTTTTAATTTCTTTTCTTTAAACATTATTTCCACTGTATTGAATTTTGTCACTACCGCCCTTTCAACTAACGGCGACAGAGCAGATGTTAAGAATTTGTCTATGTGCTTGTTACAGTAGGACTAGCACGATAGGGCGCGACTTGCACGAGAGCGACATAAAGCGCGAGATACTGCTATTCTCTCACAGAAATCTCGCGCTTTAAGTCGCTCTTGCACAAGTCGCGCTCAATCTTGGTAGCTCTACAGATCTTTATATTGAGTTTAAACGGCTGTTTGCCATCAGCACCACCAATAAGATAAATAGTCTTTGAAGACGACACAACCATGTTTGACCTTAAAGATATAATCACATCACTTCATGACCTGTGTCCCTGTCTATCATGTTACTGAGACTGGGTATTACAGAAAGCGGAGCATCACAGACCGTAAGAATTATAGCGACTCCATTTTAATTTAATTGTACAGTCAGCGTAACATAACATGTAACATAATAAACGTAACATGTTATTTTCAGTCGAATGAAACAAACTATCGTCTAAAATCATTTGAAAGTGCAGCGAAGTCTTTGAGATTACATATTTTTACATTTCACAGGCAACGATAATTTTGACTCTGCCTGTACTGATATAACATGGACGATTAACACTAAAAATATTTAAGAGGTACCTTGAATGGTTGTTGATGAGGATTTGTGTCATAAGTAGCAGGATAATGTTGATAACCGTACGCGTCTCCCGCATATTCTCCTCGCGGTGACGTCACGCAGTAGTGCCGCCCTAGCTGCTCCAGGGATGCCGAATCGTACCTAAAAAATACACAAATTTTAATAAAGAAGAAAAATCTAATCGCTGATAATAAAAACATAAAAAGATATTCATAGTCGGTTTTTTAAGACGAAGTAAAATGACTGAAAGAAATTGAAAAAAATAATAATTAATTAATTAAATAGTTGTGTAGTTGTCGATGGTTTTATCGATAGATTGTGAAAGAAGATACAATTTTGCTACAAATAACTGAATTCTGAATGTTACGACGTTCTAATAATTACTAATTGCGTTATTGCTTCTTTATTCTTATTTTGACGATTCGCCTACTAGTATCCAGATAATTTTTTATTCATATGCATTTTAACATGAATAGCTGGATTTGATAATTTATATTGAATTAACATTAAAAACTTCAAAATATTTCTCCTCTTTGTATTTTTCATAAACATAGTTCTAAATACAGTGTATGTAGATATGAACTTACAAAAATTGACAATTCAAATGAACTTGTGCTCAGTAATTGGATGAATAACGATCCGAGGATGATTCAAATGAAACGAGTTCGGCTATTTGTTCCATAAGCGTGACCAATAATGAGACGATAGTCGATAGAATATTTATCGACTGTAATCACTAGCTGCTTGCAAGCGGGCAACACTTTTGCGCAATGAAATTTCATTTCTCTCCGTTTTCAAAAAACACAGACTACAGTTTACAGGCATTCAGAAGCTAATAACTCCGGCCTGCTAATTATAAATAAATATTAGAAACATCACATGCGTTGCTTAGAACCCAAAATAAGTAACTGGTGTTATGATAAATGCCGATGTTCTTCGTTAAGTGTCTTTTTTATGGTAATGCAATAATATCAGCAGTTTGTTGTATATACACGTTCATAAGCGCGATCTTGGTGTTGAATTTGAACAGGAAAAGCATTCGATTAATGACTCCAAGCGTCCAGAAATCCTCACGATAGATATATATAAAAAAGAGACATTAAAAAATAGTAGTACTGTGCCGTTTATAGAAACTTGTGATGCGTGAACACTTACCTCTGCTGTAAGTGTAGATTGTGTTGAGAAGGAATCGCGCCGGGTGAAGCGCTCCTTGGTGAGGCACTGCCGCCTCCTTCCACGTACTCCTGTAATTAAAAGCAACGAAAATAACAATACTGAATGGAACAAAATAGAAACACGAATAGCACAATAATGACCTCGATAGCCCAGCTGTTAACGCTGTGATCACTAGATGACGTTATCCCGGATTCGATTCTCGGTAGAATCATTTTAAGAAACTTTAAATTGGTTCAGTAGGGTTAGCACGATAGGGCGCGACTTGCACGAGAACAACATAGAAGCGCGAGATATTGCTATTATATATAGGAGTATAGCAGTGTCACGATGCGACCTCCTTCCATCGGCGTCCAACATTTTTATCCCCTTTTCTTTGGTTCCTGGCCACTTGTTTTCAAATTTTGAATCGTTCTTTAATTCCTTTGCCTCGTCATTCTCATTTTGTTTCGTTCCGTCGTCACTTAAATCTTTTTCGCCAGCTTAATCGCTGAAGCGAGCAAGTCTTTCCTTCAAATTTTGATCCATGTACCAGTTACTAAAAATCTCTTGTGCGATAAACATTTAAAAGATCACAAAAATACTTTAAAATATTTTTTATAAAACCGGATTCATTTCCACTATTTCTTTTTCATTTTGAATTTTATACTCGCTATGCAAGATGTGTGGAGGCTGCGGAGGCTACATTACAATCTACAGGACTTGCTAAAGCGGTATCAGCAGTGTGTGACCTCTTCAACCTATTCTATGAGAGAGTAGTAGTATCTCGCGCTTTATATCGCTTTCGCGCAAGTCGCGCCCTGTCGTTGTAGCCTTACTGGTCTAAGAGTCGTATTCCAGAACTCTACTCAATGCTCAAGTCAGGACTTGAGCATTGAGTACAGTTCTGAAAGATTGCACTGGCTTGTGTTAAGCACTGGAAATACGACCCTAATGGCAGGGACTTGAGTATGATTTCGGGTGCTTTAAACCATACTCAAATCCTGACTTGAGCATTGAGTACAGTTCTGGAATACGACCCTTAGTGTTCTGAGTAGTACCCCAGAGTTAATTCCATTGTTCTGGTATTATAGTACTGGGGATCCTGTGAGACCAGTAGGGTTAGCAGGACTGGCACTTGAAACTTGTGCGAGAGCGACATAAAGCGCGAGATATTGTTTTTTCACTTAAAGAATCTCGAGCTTCATGTCGGTCTCGCGCAAGTCGCGTCTTATCGAGTTAGCCCTGCAGGTAAATTGGAGCCCTGCGTTATCTGGCATTATTTGTTTATGGAACGGTGTTCACGTAAGAAGATTTAGTTATTTCCATGGAATTTTATAACAGAATAGCCAATCGAAATAAAAACAAAGTTAAAAGGACGACATGCAATAAACAACTTCAAGACCTTGGAATAAAAACTGAAACACCCAGTCAATTTATTGTAAAATATACCGCCATAGAAAGTGGGAAATGATGTTGTTTTGTTTGAATATTTCAAGAGATTTTTTTTTGGAATAAATGTTCTTTGCTCTTCCTTTTTTTCTTTACTAGGGCATACAATTATTAAATGTTTTTAAATGGTGCGTGGTGGTGTATACAACAAAGTTGTCAAACCGGTGGATACACTTCAGAAAGTTTGTCTTTTGTCGTGTTGAATGGCACAAGCACATATTACTTTACACACAAAACATGATCGAACAGTCTATGTACAATTAATGAAGTTACCATTTACATATGCATGAGTGAAAATGTGTTATAGTATGAGTATTTAATTTCATAAAACATGAGTAAACATTTCAAAGTAGTCACCTGTCCCATATAAGTGGGAACTTGCGACCCAGGCTCGACCATATACGCGGGTTGCGCCTGGTAGGCCGCAGCGCCATAGTGACCGTAAGTGCCGTAATGCCCCGCGCCCCCTGCTCCGGCGTAGCTGCCTCCCCCGCTCACTGACACGGAGTCCATTACCTGTAAAAAAGAACATTTTGTGTTATTGTCAATTTTACAAAGTCTAACATAATTAAATTTGTATTGAATTGATATTCAATTATTTTTTGTGAAATATTTTTTCTAAGTGTTCGTAACCTTTGTGTTAATAATTATAACAAACTAGTGGATTAGTTTCCCAAAAAAATGATTAAATATCAATTCAATACAAATTTTATTACAATTAATAGCGACATCTTTATGCAGGGCTGGTAGTTGAAAAGTTACCTAATTGGGTAGCGAAATACTTTCATAGATTTTTCATAGATGGCGTTACACCTAAAAAGTCGTTGAAAATCCAAATACAAAGGTCCGATAAACTATCACATAGAAAAATTCGTGACATCCTACGGTTCGTTCCGTAGTTTAGTTGGCACAGCGTCTGGCATGGTTTATTAGAAGACGTCGCTTCGAATTCGGCCATATCGAAGGATTTTTTTCTAAGTGTTCGATCTAATATAATTGTCAACTTAAAAGTAAACTTATAAAGGGCAAGTATCCCCAAAAAGGCCTAGGTTTTTTAACCATAGAGGATTTAATAAAACTATAACGATTATAGTATGCCGACTTCGTCATGGTCATGTCTGCACCCCGGTCCATCTGGCAAAACTTAGTATACGGAACAGTCCGATTTGTGAATTTGGCCTGGATGACGGCATCCCATACCATATATTTTCCAGCAGCCCTACCAGAACATGTTCTATTTATGTTAGTCTTCCACCTTCTATTCCTCATTCCGCAAATTTCCAGTTACAGTTATCTGTTTTTACAAATCCCCACTTAAAATTATAACTAATTTTATTAATATCAACAAAATTTAAATTATAAACGATATTTATTTAAATGTATCTAACGGTGATGGTATATCGTGTTGTTTTGTATTATTCCAGAAGCCGAAATAGACTAAAGAGCAGTGTTATTAGGTTTAATTAAACAATAAAAAAAGTGTAACTCCCATGACTGACTAGACATTGGCAAAATTCTTCAAGAGAAGCCAGAAACTTAAAAACAAAAATAAAAGAACATTACATGTTATTGTCAATTTTACATCAAAATACCTAATCAGGTATTGCTTTGAAGGCAGACTTGGAATCGACAAAACAATTAATTATCACACTCATGGGATGACAGCGCGTAAAATATTTTGACAGCATGAATCATGACTTTGGTACTGAGCAGATATTAAACGGCTATAGTAGCCATGTAGAAACATTAGCTTCTCAAATGAGAGGTACACGGTTCGAACTCTACCTATGACCTTTAATTTTTAGCCACGCACATTAGAGAACGTTTACTAATCAAATAATAAGTAAGGAAATTATTGTCCAAGCGTTCACAATCCTAGCAAAACGTGAGGTCGCCAAGGGTTAGTAATCTCCACAGAACAATAAATATACAGTAAAGTGTTCAGTTAGCGTCTGAAGCGTGTCAACTTCAGGTCTCATAAGACCGATGTGAGCTCAGTCCGCCATTTTCGCTTTGTACGGTATGGTTGTGTCGTTCTTTCGTGCAAATTCCATAAAATCCATGCATGATAGTCGCATCAAAAATATTACCCGTGGTGGTATTTCACATCATCAGAAAGTCTTATTTTAATAAATTTTTTAACTTTCTGTTTATCGAAATATTTTTTTTGTTAGAAGAAACGAAAGTAAAGCTTACACCCCTGCAATACGGTCGCTTCTTTTTTGGAGAACTAAATTAATAATTACAATTAACCACTAGACGACAGCGCATTCATTGAAATTTCAATGTAATATCAAAACGTCGTAACTTGCAATAGTAGGTATTGATGGTATTAAACTTTCAACGATATGCCAACAGAGTAAAGTTTATATTATATTAACATCCAGAACTTGTTATTTCTTTTTAAACTTGAAACTACGACCAATCAATATCAAGATTTTTAAGTGTTTCAAATAAAAAATGTGTGACTTTTGGCGACATCGGTTCTGATAGTAATTGGGGCTTAAGGCACATCCATTGTTAGATTTCTTCCGTGGTAATCCCCCTACGTAGAGAAGACTCATGCCCAGCAGTGAGATTATATAATGACGATAAACAGATGCTTAATACGGATAGGTCTTTCTATGCAGACGACCTCCGAGGTCGAGTGGCTTGCACATCGATTTTCGCGGTGTCGCCAACTCTGAGGTCCCGGATTTGATCCCCGGCCGGGTGAACATAGAAAAACTAACTTTTCTATATTGTATCAAGTCTGGGAGTTTGTGGTACCGTCGTTATTTCCAATTTATACAACACAAGTGCTTTAGTTACTTACTTTGGGATCAGAGCAACACATGTGATGTTATCTAACATTTATTTATTTATTAAGACACTTTGAAGTCAACTTTTATTAACATCCTCAGGCTACTTAGTCACAGTAACGAAAAATCCGAAGGACAACGAACTTTGGGCTGCAGAAACAAAATCATATTTCTTCGTTTCGAGTTTGGTATGATGGGCTTGAATCTGGGCGCGCACATGTGGGGTACAATCCTTACTTAATAGCTAATTTTCATCTTGTCGTTCCAAAATTAAATACAAAATCTTAAATCAGTTTACATTATAAACAACCCTAACAGGGGTATCATGGATCAGGAGAACCTTTTAATAAACGTAGTGGCCTCGTTACAAACATTTGTATTGACTATGACTTATTCATCGTTGTACAATGGATAACCTTGGGCGGCGGATGTTTTTTTGGCAACGCCCTCAAGTTCAATGTCAATGTCGAAGAATATTTCATTAGGGGTTAAGTTCACTGTTGTTTTTATTGGCTGAAAAAAAAAACACGCTTTCGGAAATAAAAGAACTTAATTCTTATTCAAGATAGGTCCGGAAAGAGACTGTACCAGGTGTTAAATTTCTAACAATGTTATGTTGCTCCGTAATTTAATTATCATTGCACTTAGTAAATTGATTCATCAATAATTAAACACCAAGACATAAAAATAAGCCATATGTAACTAAGACATAGTGTAAAGGTGGTTTACCACTGGCGAGGCGAGACGAGACGAGACGAGATGAGTAGAGGCGAGAATTGAAATCTCGCCGGCCCATTTCCACCAAAAAGTGCCTTTAATGGTGCACAAACTCGCGCGAGTCATCCCGATCTCGCGCGAGCTCGCGATGTGATCGTGGATAGCGAAGATTCAGTGCTGTTCAATTCAACTAGCGATGAAAACGTCCCGTGAATTATTATTATATATGTTAACGAGAGAAGAATCAGATGAATCCATTTTTTTTTAATGTCAAACGTACGTACCGTTCAATATCGCGATTGATATTAATAGTCATAGTCGATGCGGGCACTCACGAAAGCGCGCTCGAGAAATCGTGTTCACGTTGCAGAGTATAATACTCTAAGCAGGTAGCATCCATAGCCCCATATTACATCAAAAAATATTTCAATGCTCACCTCACTCATACTCGTCAATCTAGACCATTTCTACCGAAGATGAGCAAGGACAGAATTGAAATTCTCGTCTCCCGTCGCCGGTGGCATACCACCTTAACCTAAACTTAAAGTAACGGTTTCACGAGAAGTAAACATTTACAAAAATCGTAGTGTAGCATATTTTAGTGTACTGTAGTGTAATTTAGTGTACCGTAGCATAATATTTAAAGTACTGTAACGTACTTTAGTGACTGTAACGCACAGTAGTGTACTACAGTACAATACTACAGTTTACTGTAGTGTGATGTGATATCATGTCAAAACTAAATAAATAAACTGAATAATCTACTTCTTGTGGTGCCTTTCCAACTAGTTAAAGTTGGCCACGAATTCTGCATTTGCCTTCGATCTCGCGCGAGGCGTAATAAGTCGGCTGAGCTCGCATGTTCTGCCCATTTTTTAATGTTATCAAGCTACGCCTTTTTCTGCGACCTACTTTCTTCCTTCCAGCAATCTTTCCCATCAAAAGAACACATGAATAATAACTTGAATAATAAATAGTATTTAAATAGATATCACTTGAAATGTATACTAACTCAGTAGGTTTATTTTGTTGGCATTTCTTTTTTATTTAACTTTCTACCATAAATATGAGAAAAGCTCTAAGTGATTTTTCATGTTGAGTTAATTTTCATTGTATGGAATCTGGAGGGTATTGTTTTTGTATGTAAATATCAATCGACGAGTGGAATCTTGAATTTTCAATTTGATCAACCTACTCAAATGCTACAATACATATTTTCCACATAACCAAACTACAAAATATGCACAGCTAGCAAATCGTAAATTTCAAGATGAAGGAAACAATATTATCCTGCTATTTAAAACGTCACCTTCTGTCATACCTTTAACTTTCAATTTGGACTTATTAACAACAAGTCAAGACTTTCGATTGCGCAACTTTCAATCGTTTACCGTTCGGACTTGCATCTGTGAGTTTCTAATTTCCATGTCATAGCTTGAGACGTCAATTATCGTCATTCATCATTTCTACGCAACGTCTACTGCTGGCGAAATAGGCCTTCTCAAAGACCGCCACAACAATCGGTCTTGTGCTGCTTGCATTTAGCGGATTCCCGCAACCAGATCCCCAGATCATCGGTCCACCTTGTGGGTGGTCTGTGCAAGCTATGTCTTCCGGTACGCGGTCGCTACTCGAGCAATGTGCCCTGCCCACTGCCAGTTGAGTTTTAATCAATTCTTAGTTAGCGCTATGTCGGTTACTCTAATTGTTTTCCGGATATCCTCATTTCTGATTCGATCTCGCAGTGAAACTCCGAGCAATGCCCTTTACGTTGCCCGTTGGGTGACCTTGAGCTTTTTTATGAGTTCCATAGTGCGCGACCACGTCTCAGTACCGTAAGTCATCACTGGCAATACACTCTGGTCAAAGACTTTTGGCTTAGGACATTGTTATATTTTGGACAAGAACACATGACTGTTTAATACAGGACTATTAGATTGTTACCCTGTTAAAGTTAATACCAATTTGAAATGTGCTCCTATTAGAAATGTAATCTAG